GTTCTGTAGCTGTTGACGCGCACTGAACCATCCAGACGTACGGCGCAAAGTCTGTTGTTGACCGGAATCCATTTGAGAAGTAAACGCTCGGCCGTGACACTTAGCGCAATCCCAACGCCAGCAGCACCGCGAGCTTCGGATGCCGAATCGCCTGACACACGGAGAGTGAAGCTTGAGGATGAGGCTGGATCTGGAGAACGGAGGGAAATGCCTGAAGTAGGATCTTGTATGCGTGTTTCGGAGACACAGCATACATTTAAAACCACCACAGGATCAGTTTGATCCCGATCGTCACCAAGGTGCTAGCTTCGGTTACACTTCGATATCTGACGCCTTTAAGAGGCCAACATCCGTGAACAGCGAGCCGGATTCCGGCCTGGTCGTGGATGTATTGATCAGATTTTTACGCTGCATCAGGTCCTTGAGCTACGTCATACCCACCGTCAGCCAACTATCGCAGTATTCCTCGATCTGAAAGCAGCCTTCGACTCAGTTGACCGCGAAGCTCTGATGCGCTCCCTTCTTTGAAAAGGAATACCCCAAAAGTAGGTTAGCCTATTGAGGTCACTGTACTCACATACCTCCGGTCGTGTAAGGGTTTACAACAATCTAAGTAGGCCGTTCGTCACCAGCAGCGCGTCCGTCAAGGATGCTCTCTTCGCCGTTCCTGTTCAATTTCGTCGTAGACGAAATACTGGAGAACGCATTAAGTGGACTCCAAAATGTATGTATTGAATGGGCAGCTGAAGAAAAGCTGTGCGTTTTAGAGTACGCCGAGGACATCGTCTGTCTGTTCGAATGTACGGGGGACGCGCAAAGAGCACTTGATAGATTAGCAAGTGTAGTAGCCACATTCGGTATGTGCTTTGCACCTTCAAAGTGCCAAGTGCTGCTGCAGGACTGGGTTTTGCCTACTCCCACTCTGACACTAAATGGCCAGGATTTAGTTGTGGTGGATTGTTTTTCCTACTTAGCTAGTTGCGTGACTAATGACGGTAGTGCAGCAAAGGAGATAACCGCCCGCATTTCCAAGGCTCGCGCAGCATACGAAGGACTGAAACACCTTTGGCGTAGACGCGACGTTTCACTGAAGCTGAAAGGTCGTTTATATTGGGCTAGCGTTCGTTCAGTCCTGCTTTATGGTTGTGAGACCCTGCATTTGCGAGTAGATATCCGTCGACTGGAAGTTTTCGATTATCGATGTCTACGTAGTTTAGCTCATGTTGGATGGAGCGAACGGGTTAGTAACGTGGAGGTAAGTCGTCGTGTGTTTGGGAGTCTATCAGGTATACACCTGTTGCCACACCGAATTCAGATTAGTAGACTTCACTGGCTAGCGCAGGTATTGCGTATGCCCAACTGTTGTCTGCCGCACCGCGCTTTATTCGCTGTAGCTGATCCGGGCTGGAGAAAACCGCGTGGAGGTCAACAGATGACGTGGAGATGAAGCATGAAGAAATGCACAGAGCTATTAGGTAGAGTAGACGTCACGCGCCTTCCAGGTTGGGGTCCGAAAGACTCCGTAACTGGTTGGTTGGAGACATTGAACGATATGGCAACGAACTGGCAGTAGTGATGCGAAGATATTTCCTGTCAGGCACTATTCATGTCAACTGCTTTCTGCGCTCGTGTTTTTTTTTAATACCAGTGTTTGTACCTATACTTATCTTTTGACTACTTCCTCCTGGTCTTGATTCCGTTTATTCGTGGATTTTAACTAATGCGGCTGAGACTTCGGTTTCCTTTTGTACAGCCTTGTGCAAAAAATCAACTATCCTTCAAATTTTGACATTCAGGACAACCGGCAGACAAATTACGATTGTCGGAAATTTAAAGTACTAAATAGGGAATGGCAGCTGCGCTCCCCGGAAAATTCAATTACGGGATGCGAAACGGGGAGTTTTAATGTGATCAATTATTTGACCACTCCACACGCATGTGATCACAGTTAATCGTCATATGTACACAGCCTCATTCTCACATTCATTTACTTCTTTTCTAAAACCATCGGATCACTGTCTCATTCTCTTGTTCCGTTTCACCCCTTAACCCTAGCCGCACCTTCCAGCAAAACAATCAACCCAACTGTTGTTTTCTATACTCAATCACCATAGTGACGGTTGTTTCGAGTCTGTAGACTTGTAAACTTTGCTCTTGAATGATTTAACTATACTTGTAACTGCGCTTTACGCTAACAAAATTCAGCTTTCTGCATTGGTGCCGCTTATCCAACCTAACATCACACTGCCGTTTCATACAAGCCAGAAACAAATGCTCGCTTACCGCAAGGAGCACGGTCACAAGACAGGGTTTCATTGACTTCTGGTAACTGAACATTTTGGGTCTCTACCGAAGCGTTTTAGCATAGTCCTTGTGCCTCTAATGTTCTTCGCATTAGCGATTTCTACTGCACTCTAGTTTGTGAACCTCAGGAAAGGGAACCTTCCGGTTCGCTCTGAACTTCATCTTCCTTAGATGGATTCTTAAAACAAGTAGTCGGTCGTTGACATTTGAAAAACATTGCTGGTCCGGGATTATTTATCCGGGATAAAAGTGCGAAAAACGGTGTCATTTTTTACGGTTTGAGAGCACTGGAGACGATTTATCGGATTGCTTTTGCTATCCGAGTTGCCCATCGCCAATGGCCATTGACGGTAGGGTAACGAAACCACCTGTCCAAGTCCTTTTTCAGGGTATCTGTCTAGTGTGCTTTAAATCTCCCAGTATAGCTTGACTTCCGCACACGGCCCAACGTTCGGTTTTGTTTCTGGCGGGAAATACTTAACGAATATTGTGAACATCCTGCGGCCTAATATACAACAATGAGACATTCTGATAGGTCACGTTGCACAGGACGAAATGTGACCACAGTCAATCCAGTATTTATTCCCCATTCCTTTTCAACTTTGTCATAGAGGATGCTCCACAGAATGCTTTGTCCGGTATAGCAAACGGTGGAGTCGAACTCCTCCGAGGGAACAGAGTCCTTAACTTAAAATATGTCGATGACATCGCCTTGTTGGGTGACAATACACAGAAAGTCCAAAACGCTCTGAAACGCTTGGCGATTGAGGTATTTAGACATGGTGTGCTTTGCACCTTCCAAGTGCAAAGTGCTTGTTCAAGACTGGCAGGAGCCTGTGCCTGGCACTACCCTGTGGTGATGAGCTGGAAGAAGTACCTCGGGAGCTTGATCGCAGCTGGTGGTGTTGGAGAGGAGATCACATCACGAAAAGCGAAAGCTAGAGCCGCTTTCGTTAACCTGCGACACCTGTGTCGCCGCCTTGATATCCGACTGTCCCTTAATGGAAGGGTTGCCGCGGTTCATTGCCTTCTACTGATCGGTTGCGAGACCTAGCTTCTCCGCGTTGAGGAAGCTAATCGACTTTTTATATTCGACCACCGCTGTCTCCCGAATAAATTGTTCGTGTCTGGTGGAAACATCAGATGAGCAATGACAAGGCTCGTCGTCGTGCGTTGGTTGCGAATAGTCGTTCTCTAACAAGTAATCGCTCTACACCACCTCAGTTGGCTGGGTCACGCATTGCGTATGCCTGCCCATCGACTACCTTTCCGTGCTCTCTTCGCACGTGCTGGACAAGGCTGGAAGAAGCGGCGCGGAGGTCAGATCATGACATGGCGTTCTACCGGTGACCTTCCGGCTCTTGTCTCAATCCTGGCCAGCTCTACTCGATAACCACGGGAAAGGCCTTCGACCGAGTTTGACACGGTCTGCTGGCGAAACTACCCATGTTCAGGTTCTCTCCAGCGCTCGTACCGTGCACATCAAGTTTCCTCAGTAAGCGAACCATCTCCAGTGTTGAGAGAACAGACTACCCAGCTCTTGATTAGTTTGGGTCAGGTGAAATTACTAGCGGCTTATGACAGCGAGCGCTTAGGTTCTTGCGCAATCGAGCTTGTGTTCTCGATGTGCTTTGACAATTGAATTTCTAGTAGCACGTGACCCCCCTCCCCAGATGAATGGAAATCCGGGTGTCCCTTCAGGTCAGGTCAGATTGCACAGGACTGATAGTGGCCACAGGCCAATCAAGCGTCCAGAATTCCTTCGATGGTGTGCTTTCGAGTGCGTCTACCTCAGCGATTGATCAGTTTATCTTTCTGTCTGCAAACAGAGAGAAATAGAGGCTTTTCTTCTGGCCACGTCGGCGAGAGACTATCATAGTGAAAGCGTTCCATATTACACAAAAGCAAGCAAGCCCTTAACAATCTGTATCAGGGAAAACCTCCAACCATCTGGTGTCCGGAGATCTTTTTAAGGCTTGCACGTTTGACTGGTTGAATAGTTCAGATAGCAGTTTATTCCAATTATCCACTACCCTATTGCTAAAGAAATGTGCTCGTAGGTTCAGCCTAGTGCGCTGTTTCATAAGTTTGAGCTGATGTCCACGCGTTTCTTGGTGAAGAGGGACCCCGGATATAAACCCAGCAAATTCTTCTTAATCTTAAATACTCCGATGAGGTCTCCACGCAATCTCCTCTGTTCCAGTGAATAAAGACTCGGCAACCTCTCTTTGTTTTACCACGCATACCCTCAAACATCCGTGTTGCTAGTCTCTGGACCTTCTCCAGACAGTCTTGAAGTGATTCACGGGTTCGGGGCTGTTGCCCAACTGTTCCGGTCCTTGAAAGGTGTTTTCTTTTCGTTCGAATTTGTTGTAGAACGGAGAGTACTGAAAAGGCATTAATAGTGTTCCCTGCTCGAGGGGAGAAGTAAAATGAGGAAATGAGGAATTGCGCACTCCTATAAGTCAAAACGCTTTTTTCTTCTAAGGTTTTCTTTTATTGGGGGTGAGACGACAAACCCAAGTGACGGTCAAAAAGAAGTTTGAAGGCCTCCTTGCTGGGAGCGCTGACTATCTATTCTGGAACGGCATTCCATAAGGATGCCACTCTGANGCAGAGTAATTCTCAGACGGGGCTTGAAATTTTTTTGCTATGACCCCGGGTAGGGCAAGAGTCAGCAATGATGAAGGTTTCGACAGTACCTGAGTCGAAAAAGATCTCCCCGAATGCGTCTGATTTCTAACAGACAGAAGTCCAGTTGTGTAAGTCGCGTTGGGTAGGCGAGGTCCCTAAGTCCTTGTGGCGGCCCTCTGGACTCGCTCAAGGCAGCCACGATCTCGGATGAGACTGGTGTGTGCAATTTGGCTTTCGCACTCTAAGAGGTCCGAT